GGGACAGGGACAGGACAGGGACAGGATGGGGACAGGGACAGGACAGGGACAGGGATGGGACAGGGACAGGGACAGGACAGGGACAGGGATGGGACAGGGACAGGGACAGGGACAGGGACAGGGACAGGGATGGCAGCAGGGCCCGAGCCAGCCCCGGCTGAGCCCCGGTGGCCACGAGCTGGCCAGGACCCAGCTGTCCCCAGGGAAAGGGGGGACACAGGGTGGGGAAACTGAGGCACAGAGGCTCAGTGGAGCGGCCGGAGCTCAGTGCCAGCACACAGTGGTGACAGATCTGTCCCCAGGGTGGCTCCCGGGGGGATTTAGGGTGGCAGCGGCACCTCTCCGCGCAGCTCCCCCTCGCCGACACGAACTCGCCCGTTCCGGGGTTTTCCCCCAGAACTGCAGCCCTGCTGCCGCTCGCCGTGGGTGGGCCCGTGCCAAGCAGGGCAGCGAGCCACGTCCCCGAGCCAAACCCCGGCCCGGCGGCCACCGAGGGCTCGACCGCCCGGAGCCTCCCAAACCACAGAGCCCAACCCCATCCAGCGACCCCCCCGCCCCACCGGGGACCCCCCTCCGCCACCGCCGCCTTTCTCCCGTCTCGCTGCCCCACCGGCCGGGTTTGGGGGGTCCGAGGGACGCCACGCCAGCCCTGCGGTGGCTCTGATGTCGGCGCCATCCCAAATCGTCGTCTCCTATCGAACCCCGCTCGCTCCGTAACGGGCGAGGAATGTGGGGCCCCCCGCCGCAGCTCCCCCCGCCGCCTTTATTTAATATCCTGAGAAAATTAAAATAACTCTTGCGGCCGCTAAGGAAAACACGGGCATAAACACGAGAAAAGCGGGAGCCCCGGGAGAGCGGCTGGGGGCGAGCCAAGGGGGGGCACGCGGCGGCACCCGGGGGACACGGCGGCAACGGACACGGGCACCCGCGAGAGCGGACACCGGGGGAGGCGGCACCGGCGGCACCGGAGCGCAGGACACCGGGATGCCGCGGGAGCGCAAGAGGGCGTGCGGGACCGGGGGTGCCCGCAGGACAGCGGGGTGCGGGACACGGGGGTGCCCGCAGGACACGGGGGTGCCCCGGGGGTGCCCCGGGGGTGCCCCGGGGGTCCCGGTCCCGGTCCCGGTCCCGGTCCCGGTGCAGCCCGGCCCGGACACCACGTGACCCATCGGCCGCACACGCCCCTCACCCCGCCCCTCAAGGGAGGCTCCGCCCCTCTTAAAGGGGCAACGATAGCAGAAAGTGGCCCTCATTTTAATCAGTCCTCGTTACAACCGGAGGGCCGCTAAGTCACCGGCGGAGCGCGTCTGTGCAGGGAACGCTGACATTCGCTCTCCGCCGCGGAGGAAAACCGGGGAGCGTGGCGTTGTCCCTCAGTGAGGGCTCCGCGCGTGTCTGACGCGAGCCGCGGCCCTTTTAATTCCCCCCCCACGCGCGGCCGCAGCCGCGAGGGCGGCGCGCGGCGGCGATTGGCGCGAACGGGGAGCGGGAAGCGGTGAGGGCGGCCAAGATGGCGGCGCCGGGGGCGGGGGGCGGCTGAGGGGAGAGACCGGGGGCGGCGGGGCGGTGAGGGGTGAGGGGACCCGGGGGGCCCGGGGGCTGTGAGCGGCGGAGAGAGCGGCCGAACGCTCTCTCCGGCCTGCAGCCGGCGCATCCCGGCGGCAGCGGAGGTTTCAGCGGCTCGCCCTCAGCCCCGGCGCCGCCAGCCATGTGTTCCCTGGGGTTGTTCCCGCCGCCGCCGCCCCCTGGGGATGTCACCCTGTACGAGCTCAACAACGCCCTGGTCTGCGGCCGCCTCAGCGAGCAGCTCCCGCTGCCC